GTGGGGGTGGGGGTGGGAGGCAGCCTGGTCAGATGAGCTGGAGGACGTGGGACCTTTCCCCCAGAACCTGTGAGCTGCAGCTGGGAGGACTCTCTAGACTCGCCCTCACGCCCCTGCTCTCAACCCGCCTGTCCCCCTGTGCCGCCCCATCCAACCTGCCTAGTGCTCTGCGCCTGTGTGTGGCCCGTCTGCACGAATGTGCCTATGTGTGTGGACAGGGTGGAAGGGGGGAGGTGTTCCGGTGGGTGCATCCGTCTTTGCCTGTTACCCTGGGTCTGTGTATCCCCATGAACGCAAAGAGAGTGCACGGGGGCAAGCATGGGGTAAGTGTGTTCCGGTGCGTACATCCCTGTTTACCAGTTGGCACGTGCACGTGTGTTCCTGTGGGCAGGCATGTTTCCATGTGTGGCTCTGTGTACATCCCTAGGGATGTGTGTACAGTGGGGTGCATCGCCCTCGTGTGGCATAGGCCATGGAAGGATAAAGGATCTACAGCTCGTGCAAACCAGCAGAGATCCGCTTCAGCCCAGCTGCTGGGGAGCTACTCAAGGATCAAGACTATTGCCCCAGCTATGGGATCTGATCCCATTCCTGTCCCACTCGGGTGCCCATAGACTCTCTTCTGAGACTCACAGGTTCAGTTGGGCTGGCCCCACGGCCCAGCCTGGGGTGGTGAAGTGGGATGGATGGATGGCTCCTGGCGGGAGGAGGAGGAGGAGAAACACATTGTTAAAGATGGGGCGAGGGGGGTGGTTAGCTGGTTTCGATCCCTCCTGGGCTCACAGGGGGTGAGAGTGGCCGGAGGCAGGTGGACCGAAATGGACAAGGAAGCAATAAACTTAAAACAACCAAAAAAAGCCACATCAGGAAGGTTTTAACGCCCCGAAGCCATGTGATCCTTGCTGGACCTGTGGGAAAAAAGCATGTTTAGCCTCCCTCCCAGCAAAAATAAATATATATTTACACCCACCCTAATGCAATTGGAAATACAAAATAAGCCAAGAGAAAGAGAGAAAAACATGGATTGGAAAGAATCAAGCCTGGCTTTTTTTTCTGTTGTCTCTTGAGCAATTATCAATTTGTTAATTTACTGGCTTCCTCCTGCTGCCTCTGCCAGCCCCAATGCTCATTAGAAAAATCTCGTTTTCTCCCTGCCGCTCCTCGTACTTACGTTAAACTAGAAACCTCCACAAAGGGCTGAGATGGTCAAATTAAAAAATATATATATCTATAAAAATCGAATGCATCCCTGCCCCTTCTGGCAATAACAGATTGAGTTAAAGACCATGAGTGCAGCTTTTGCTTAATTTAATTTCTTTTAACAGGCAGGAAAAAAAAAGAAGAACCCCAAACCCTGCATTTATCGGAAGAAACGAAATAAAGGAACGGAAAAAAAAAAGAATAAAAAGGAAAAACATAAAGTTCCATATTAAATTGGTTAGTAAAAACAAACAAAAACCAAACTCACCCAACAGATTATTATTACTAGTGTTAAAAAGCCGGTTTATATATGTAAATATATGTAGACATAAATATATCTATATATACATATATAATAACAAATCGGGGGTGGGGGGGTTAGGTGTACGTCGTCTCATTAGCATTGCGTTCCGGGGGTTAACAGAGAGGACAAGCTAGGAGGAATTGAGACAAAGCCAAAGAAAATGAAAATGGGAGCCTTAAACTAGGCTTTTACTAAAAATAACCCAAGGGGTTTAGGTGCTCCTGCTTGGGGAAAGAATTCTGAGTCAGCACCGGGTGAAACCGAGTGCTTCACGCTAAGCCTGTGCTTCTGTTCTAATGTGTACAGTCTTCTCGTGTACTAATGGGTGTTAACAATCACTAAGACCGCTGCTAATGCAGTGACTTTCGGGGAAGAGGCTGTCCTGTCGTCGACAGGTGGATGGGAGCTCAGTGTCATGCGCTGTCCCAAACAAGGACCGCTACACGCCCATGAGGTCCCAAAATCCATGGATACCCACCACGCCCCAGACCAAATGCCCAGTCGCAAAGGAGGATGAGTCAAAAAGTGAATTCGCCGATTGAAATCAAATTGACGTAATTTTAAAAAATCTCAGTAAGTCCATCGGACCCATCAGCTCCCTTCCCGTTCCTCTTAGCCACATTTTTGTTTAAATTCTGTGTTAAAGGGGGGAGAAGAAATTAGGAAATAATAATAATAATAGTAATAATAATAATAAAAAAGAGACAGAACCAAAATCAAGAGGAGAAAGAGAAAGCCGGTGACTGAGGTAGATACCCAACTGGTTGCCATGGAAACATGAATAGAGGAGCAGAAAAACTCAGTTGAATGATTAAAAAAAAAAAAGACGGAGAGGAAGCCCCCATGACTAGTTCCCCTGAAGGAGGTAAAAAGTCGAGCAGACATTAATGGTTGCCCCCCGCCCAGCCCCCCAAGCAGGCGAGCCAAGGAATCATGGATCAGACTTTGGAATCCAGTTTGGTTACAAAAATCTTTTCCAGATTGGAGCTGGTGGCTTGTATTTTGCGTCGGGCGGGTGGCGAAAGGGGCCTGTCTTTTAGCTAGGGAGGCCAATTGGAATTAACAAGACCAGAGAGAGAAAATTGGGGAGGGAAGGGGGAGAAGAGGGAAGGTTCTGGGAGGAAAAAGGAAGGTTAGGAAAAGGGGGATCGGGGTAGGATCAGAGGAGACGGAATTCACATTTAATATGGCCACAGAGAATATAACAAGGTGTTAGGTTTAGGGGGTCATTGGTAATGTTCTGTTTACCTTTTTGTTCCACTTCTACTTTAAGCATCGGAAGAAAGAAGAAAAAAATAGATTGAAAAAAAAAAAGTGCAAGGAAAGAAGAAAAAAAAGAGAGAGAAGAGATTAAATTGCTTTTCCCCCCCCGCCCCAAAGAAACCTTTTCTTTATAGCAACTTTTCCCGCCCCACCCTTCCGACCCCCATTTCAGAGCCCACCCCCTCCCTTTTTAATTGTTCAAATTGTTGCTCGTTTTAGGCAAAGAAAGAGAGAAAAACGTGTGTTGGATTTTTATCGGAGGATTTTACAAATCAGGTTTGATTGTTTTTAGGGTTCAAGGGTTTTTCACTCCAGCAGCAGCGTCCTTGAAAAGAGAAACAAGAAACTCACCCCAATGCAAATAATAAAATAATCAGAAATGCCCCAAACAACCCAAAAGTATAAGAAAAAAAACCTCCCAATGCAAAACTCTGAGCACCCCAGGGACAGAAAGGACAGTAGGAGATAGAGATGGATGGGGATGGCTGGCTGCAGGGTGTTGGATAGATAGATAGATAGATAGATAGATAGATAGATAGATAGATAGATAGATAGATAGAAGGGGTGCATGGGGATAGATAGATAAATAGATAGAAGGGGTGCATGAGGATAGATAGAGGAGGGGTGCATGGGGATAGATAGATAGATAGATCTGTATTGGGATAGACAGAGGGCCTGTATGGAGTAGATAGGTAGGTAGACAGAGGGGGCTAGACTGATTGATTGATTGATCAGTCAAAGGAACCAGGATTCTGGGAACCCAGCTGAGCTAAGAGACAGGGCCAGGCAATAGTTGTCCGTCCCTCCCTCAATTCCTGATCCTCTGCTGCTTAGCTTCAAGCAGATACCAACTCTGGCTTCTCCATATCAGCCCACTTATCAGCCTAGGTCTAAAAGGGCGTTCCCCAGCCTGGCCATGCAGGAATCAGAGCAGACGATCAGCTCGAATGTCTCTCTCCCCCCCCCGAAAATCGGCTAGACCAGTGCAGGCCAATGGCCCCGCTAGCCCAGCATCCTGCCTTCTAAAGCAAGGTGCTTCCGAGGGAGCGAAGAGGACGGGGAAATGACCGGGCGAGCCATCCTCTGGCAAGCAGCCCCAACTCCTGCCCATCCGAAGTTCCCTTTAGGGAAGCCGAGAGCATGAGGCTGTATCCCTAACTTGGCTAGTAGCCCTGGCTGGGCCTGTCTCCCAGGGACACCTCAAATTGGTTTCTGACCCCGTTATACCTCCGACCTTCACAACAGCGCCCCTGGCCAGCTGTGCAGTGAAGTCCTGGGGCTTGTTTTAAACCTGCCGCCTGTGCCCTGCATGGGGGGGATCTCTGGGCCTGCTCTTCAAAGGGGGAAGTAACAGACCCTTCATCACTGTCCCCTCCCAGCCATGGAGTCACACCCTCTCCCGGCCGTCTCTCCTGCGCTGCCCAGTCCCAGCCTTATTACTCTCCTCGCACAGAAGCGGCTCCCTCCCCTGCCTGGCTTGTTGCCTTTCTCTGTCCTCTCTGCAATCCCAGACGAGCCTTTTTGCAATGGGGAGACCAGAACTCCATTCCTGGGCAGGGGCACGTGAATTCCTCTCTCCATACCCTGCCTACCTGGCTATCCCCACGCACCCCACTACTTAGCTGTGTGTAAATGGGGGCTTCTCGGGGGCTGCTTAGCACAGCTCCTAGGCACAGACCCATCACCCCCTAAGACACCAGCCGCTTTCTCGTCTCCTTTGAAATCTCCTATGAGATCTGATATGACAGGCCTGACCCTCTCTCCCCTGCTCAGATAGAGCCCACCCCCACTTCACCTCAACCACACTCCATCTGCTCCTGGCTCTCCAACGCCTCCAGCCTGTGACGATAACCACCAGTGTTTTCCAAAGGGGGTCAGGATCAAAACCCACTTCCCCCATATCCCAGGGGGAAACTGAGGCCCAGAGCAGGGCAGCAACTCCTCCCAGGTCACCCAGCAGAGCCAGAAATAGAGCCTGGCTCTTACAGTGCAGCGCTCTTGCCCGAGGGAGCAGCTCAGCTCCACTGAACTCCAGGGGTCAGCGGGAGCTGCCCTGGCCGCGGCGACATGGCTTGTTTGTGCCAAGCTCTGGCTCCAGCTAAATGCAAGTGACCTTGTTTTGTAACTACACTTTGAATGGAAATGTCCTTCCCTGCGGGGGAAGGGGAGGAGGGGAGAGCGCTGGCTCCAATCTGACCCCGGGGGCGGTTCGGGCTCAGCTCCACTGAACTCCAGGGGTCAGCGGGAGCTGCCCTGGCCGCGGCGACATGGCTTGTTTGTGCCAAGCTCTGGCTCCAGCTAAATGCAAGTGACCTTGTTTTGTAACTACACTTTGAATGGAAATGTCCTTCCCTGCGGGGGAAGGGGAGGAGGGGAGAGCGCTGGCTCCAATCTGACCCCGGGGGCGGTTCGGGGGGGGGGACGGGGCCTTATCCCTCTAGGGGGCGCCAGCTCTGGGACTGAGGAATGGGGCACGGGGCCTGCCTCCTCTAGGGGGCGCCATTGTGACCCTCCGGTGGCAGCTTTCGGTGCAGTTCAGGCAGAGAGGAGGGAATTCTCCAGGTTGGCATTTGGCCAGGACAGACACTGGAGTTCACACCCCAACCTGCCAGGGGCTCCTTAGCTCTGTGTATTCGGGCCTCGGTGTGAGACGTGACCCAAAGAACCGGCGTGTGGGAGAGGCTGAGGAGCCGGGCTGGACTGGGCTCGTGGTCCCGCCCCCATGGAAAGTGTTTCCTAATACCCGAGAGAGGCCAGAGGGCCGGCTGGAGGCAGAGGAAAACGGGGAGATGCGGATGGATACCGTGTGCGAGGAGAGAGAGAGCCATGTATGGGACTGGGGAGCCACAGAGAAGGGGTGTTGGAGGGTAGAGGGGGCAGAGGATGGGTTGATGGACAGGAGTGTGTGGGGATGGCTAAAGGGGATGGATGAACAGAGGTGTAAGGAGATGGATGGATGGATGGGGTGAGCATGAGGATGGATGGACAGACAGGGGTGTGTCTGGGGATGGGTAGAGGGTGTGTGGGGGGTGGATGGATGGGGTGTGTGGGGGGCTGCAGGGATAGAGAGGTGTGTATGGGGAGGGATGGACAGACAGACAGTTGGGGTGTATGGGGATGGATGGATGTGAGGTCACTGGAAGGACAGAGGGGTGTGTCAGGGGATGAATAGAGGGGCATAGGGAGTTGGATGGACAGACAGATAGGTGTGAATGGGGATGGACAGAGAGGCGTGGGGGCACTGGAAGGACAGACACAGGGGTGTGTATGTGGATGGACAGAGGGACGTGGGGGCACTGGAAGGACAGACAGGGGTGTGAATGGGGATGGACAGAGGGACGTGGGGGCACTGGAAGGACAGACACAGGGGTGTGAATGGGGATGGACAGACTTACAATCTAACAGTTCAAATGGGCTTTTTACTCCCCGAACCCCTCGTGGCACCTCTGGCCACGCCTTGGGGCCGGCTGGTCTCCCCTGCACAGAGGCCTGTGGCCAGGAGCTCTGTGGGGCGGGGCTGAGGGCCGGCCTGAATAAATTCCCACACGGGGGCTGGCTCCAGAGCAGTCCAGGGGCTATGGGGTGGGGAGCGAAGGGGCCTCTGCCTTGCTCCATGGGGGCCCTGGAAGCTGGTTTGAACCCAGCCTCCTGGGCATCCGGCTGCAGCACTAAGTGAACCTGTGGACGGGGGCAGGGTGTGTTGCACACAGGGGGAAGGGAAACAACTCCAGACAAAGCCAACATCCTGGAAGCAGCTCGGCAGGGCCTAGCGAGACAGGACCCAGCGGCCAGGAGCAAACCAGCCAGCTCAGAAATCTCCAGCCACCGCAGCGCCTGTGCCAGGGTGGGAGGCAAAACGCCCCCAGCCTCAGGGCAGTGTGGGGCCGGGGGCCAAACTGCCTTGCTGCCAACGGGGCTGCGGGAGACATGGGGCTGAAGTCCCGGCTCCCGGGACGAGGGGCAGACAGCAGAGACTGGCACCTCGGGGCGGGCTCACTGGCTGGGTGCCAGGCTCTGGCTGAGGGTGACAGCTGCCCCGCCCAACCCCGCTCAGGCCCTGCCCCTGCATGGGGAGCCCACATGGCTGCAGAAAACAAGCCCCCGAGAAGCTCCAGGCACAGACGTCAGCTAGGCCGAGCCAGATCCTTCCTGTTGTAAACATCTCCCAGTTTCTACCTAATCTTGTGCCTTTGGGGATCTTGACTCATGATTTTAGACCATTCAGGGCGGGTGATGCTGGAAATCGGGCGGACTGGGGGGGACTGTGCCCCTTTCCGTGTCTGCTCTCTGGGGCGGGGGAGGGGTCTGTCTCCTCTGTGCAGCGCCCAGCACATTGGCTGAGGTCTCTAGGCACTGCTCTAATAATAACAATAAACGAGTGAATAACTGCTCACCCAGCTGAGTAACAGCAGCCAACACACAGCTGCTGTCAATGACTAACTGATCCCTTGTGGAAAAACCAGAGGCGGCCCCTAGAGATCGGAGGGAAGGAAGGGAAAGAAACAATATGACAGGAAATAAAAGAGAGAGGGAGAGAGAGGGGAGCTGAGAAAAAGGCTGTTTTTTTTCTATTTTCACAGTTATAACAATTATATTTCTCTAATCCCACCCCCTCCAAAAATAAATGAAATAGATAAAAAAAACAACAAAACAAAACAAAACAAAACGACCCGAACCAAATGAAAATGCATTCAATGAACACAAGGGAAATTGGCACCTGAAGAAGGAAAATAGGCCGTTTGGTTAGAACGGAGGCAGCTGCAAAGGAAGAAAGCGGGGAGTTTGACGCACAAAGGTACCTCCCCCATCTCCCCGCTTTCTGCACCCCTACCATGCCCCAGCCCCCCACGGTCAACAGCACGGGGGCACCCCTCCCGAGAGAGCAGGAAGGGACAGCATGGAGCGCAGGGAGAGAGGAGGATCTGCATGTTAGGGGGCGCTCTGGCAGCTGGTGAGCCCGGCCTGCTGCAAAGCATTGTGGCCTAGAAGGCGCCAGACTTTTGTCACAGTGAGTGGAATGAGGTCTGACAGAACTAGAGTGACTCCCATCATGCTTTGCATCATGTTAGCATGAAGCTTTGCTTTGTGTGAGCACCACTCCCATCACGCTTTGCTTCGTGTGAGCACCACTCCCATTACGCTTTGCTTCGTGTGCGCACCACTCCCATCATGCTTTGCTTTGTGTGAGCACCACTCCCATGATGCTTTGCTTCGTGTGCGCACCACTCCCATCATGCTCCACCTCACGGTTAAGCAGTGGGAGTCGGGCACACGCTGGGCATGCAGCGGTGAGAAATCATAGCTGCTTCCCATAACGCTGAGGCCCCCACCCTGCATGTGCTGCCCAGCTTTGGGCCTGGCCTCCTTCCTGGGCTCCACCCAAACTCCCTCCCCTTTCAGAGGCGAGAGCTGAACCCAGGAGTCCTGACGCCTGGACACCCTCACTCCGCCCCCCCCTCCCCGGCCCCCGGAGGCCCTGACTGACTCTGCCATGCCATGCCCATCGCTCCAGTAGAAACCCAGGTCCCTGGCAAGCCTGCCCCACATACCCAGCATAGGGCCGGGCAGGGGCACCAGCCTACATCCTGCCCACGCAGATGAGTGGCTGAAATGTTCCCCAAATCTCTCCTCCCCCACTGAAGAGGCTGTCCAATGTCTGAGCTGGGGGAGAGGGGGCTGCCACTCACAGTGGGGAGCAATGGGCCCTGGGGCCTTGCTGGCAGCCGGGTCTCAGCGTCTCATGCTGGGACTCTGGGGTGGGCGGGCTGGGGGGAGCCACCGACAGAGTGGCACTGCTTTGCACCAGTTCCGGATCTGGCCCCTTCTGCCCCAGATCTCTCTGCTTGCCCTATGGAAACCCTAGGGCCAGTGCATCCAATTCCCAGTGATTCCCAAGGGGCTTCTGCCTTGGTGCTAAGCCCAGAAGATGCCTCTGGTCCTAGCCAGGGGGCTCCCTGTCTCGTCCCTGCCAGACCCATGGTGACTTAAATCCTGATTTACACCCCCGAGTCAATGATTCCAGCTGGTGTAAACAGGCATAGAGCCATTAACCTCATTGGAGCGACACCACTTTACCCTGCTTAGGAGTTTGCTTTTTGGAGTGACTTCAGATTTACGGGTTGGGGTCCAGGAGAGCAGGGTTGTGCTCACTCTGGTTTGAATCTGGTTTAGATGGAGTTCACTCCTGCTTTACATCCTGCTGTAGCAGAGATCATAGTCTGGCTTCCAGGCAGTGACTCCAGATTCCCCTCCTGGTGTAAGTGAGAGCAGGCTTTTGCTTCATCTGACTTACTCTGGATACGCACGCCGGATTTGGTGACCCTGTCTCCTGCCTTCCCCCTGGCCTCCCTGGGAGCAGAAGTGGATTTCCAGGGACCAGTCCGGGTTTACACCCCAGCAAAAG